TTTTTTTTTTTTTTTTTTTTTTTTTTTTTTTTTTTTTTTTTTTTTTTTTTTTTTTTTTTTTTTTTTTTGAGAAAACAGATGACTACACCTTTACTTATAAAAGGCTATTTCCATATATATAAGCGTACCCCTAGCCCCTTCTCTGCAAAAGTTACATTGTCTTTGCTAACCTTTGAATCTACATTCTAGAACCTCTTGGAGGATTTTCTGGTTTGAGGTATTATTTGGCATAAGATTCTGCAATGAGATAGTTGTTGCTGTTTTATATGGGTCATTTGACTTGAAATGAATTATAGACTCTTCCAATGTAAGACTCTCTTCTCAAGAGATGCTGGACCAAATTATCCTTTTGGTCACTAGATGGTGCAGCCTTTCTAAGAGTTAATTGTCGCCTCCTGTCTGGCTTGAGAGGATACCTTTTACTCCCTATTTTTAACAGATGTTTCTACATTTTCTTTTCTAATATATATATATATATATATACCCCCAGAATAAATATAGGTGATATTGTGAGATAAACTTGCCTATATACTAGTTCATATGCTTCGACATCCTTGCATTCATCAACATCTGGGCATGAATGATGAGCAAGAGCATGGACCACGTATGGCACTAGATATTCCGGATAGGCTGGTGTTGAATTGGTTTCGGATTGCACTGACAGTTGTCGTGCTTTAGCTTGGTGATGCATTTGAATAATATCAGCCAGATTTTGTTTCTCCTGTTAATTCAAATAGTACATGATTAACAATAATTGAAATGCCAGCCATTGGAAGTGATGAGATGTGCATTTCTCTGATGAATGAAAAACCAGTTCCAATCAAGTCTAGAGTAAATACCTCATCGAACTCAAATGGATTGGAACCATTTATGTTAAATAAGAACGCACATGCATATTTTGCATCCAACATTCTGTCCTTTATGTATTGATGAACTTTGCTCAAGAATACTTTCCTAGCTTGAGGAAAAGTGATCTACAAGACAACAAAACATGCAAAAGCATCAATTATTAATCTTACATTCACAAATAAATCACTTCCTTAGTATGACAATGCCAAGAATAAGTTTCAATACTACTTGTATGAGATCAGAAATACATCAAGAAGTTAAAAGATAAAATATGTACAGTTCGAGAGCACAAACTTATTGTGGACTTGCCTCAGGTGTTTTTAAGGTTAAGTGAAAGGTACTAATTGGTATCTTATCATCCCATTGCTTAGATAGTCGAAGAATTGCCTTTGCAGATGCAAGTCTTAAATGGGCTTTATCAACTGAACTGTAAAACAGGAAAAAAGCCTCATACAATAAGTGCTTGTTATACACGATACTCCTGGACTGCAATGTGAATAAAAATTATTCTGATATTGATGTGACTACCTTGATTTGATATCTTTTGATATTTCTCCATGGGCAAGAATGTTACCAAGGATCTCTAGAAGAGTATTGATTCCAAGACGGAGGTGAGCATCCTTGACAGGTAAATAGCTCTTGACCAAGGTCTTAATGGAAAATATCTGTTTCTCAGGAAAAGTGAGTGGCGTAGTGAGAGAAAAAAAAAATCAAATATCGAAAGTTTATGTTGTGAAATGTTTAATGGAAATTGTTAATTATTTTCAATCACAAATGTGCTAGTGTGTGTGTGTGTGAGAGAGAGAGAGAGAGTGAGGGAGAAAGAAACAACCCAAAGTGATCCACCTTTAACAAGCAAGCCTCACTTCTATTCTCCCAAGAGGTTTTCGCATTATCTCCCACTTTCTGAAATAGAAACATTAGCAATCATAAATGTAATTAGCATCAAATCATACTCAAGAAACAACATAAACCCAATGATGGAAACTTACCGAATCACATCTGAGAATCTTGTTTATAATAAACTCTTCAATTTCCTTCTCTCTAGTTTCAAAAACAGGCATTGCAGTCTGAGCTATACATCCGAGAGACTGAAGTACAGCAGGCAAATGGGTCTTCTCCTCGAGCATATCCACAAGCCTCTACAATTTTTAAGAAGTTGTGAATTATGCAAGGACCATCAAGAAGTCATGAGAACATTCCTTCTAACAATGATTATTAGTTGGTACATGAAAATGCTGAAACAAACCTTGTACAGAACAGAAAGTGATTTTAGCCCATCGTCTTTTGTTATAGCAGCCAAAGCATGTACAGCATACTTCGCCTGTCTTCTAGTGCCTTCTAAGCAGAGCCGCTCTAATATAAGGTCTATGGAGCTGGAGATAAATAACAAGAAGATGGGTAATACAATATTCAATAACCACGTTCAAACAAAGCAAGTTCTTCAGCTATACCTTGATGAAACAGCCAATTGTTCGCGGATTGTACCACCAGCTTTGGCTAAAATGTGGAGGATTCCTTCTTTAATTATCTCGTCGTCATCTTTAAGAAAATTGATTAGCTCCTCCTCAAACCCACTGAATAACACAGGACTGAAGCGTGCAAGAATCTGAAAAAAAAAAATGTCCGGGAGAATTTTAATCATGACTTTATTTCGAGAGAAAAACAAATAACATATCATGGAGTTATATAGAAGGGACCAACAGGATGGACATCCCTTTGAGACATCTTAGAGGGGAAAAAAGAACAAAAAAATGAAAGATTATATAAGATTTGACCACGGATCACCATAATAATAATAAGTAAAAAAGAAATAAAAGTAATACTAAAATCTAATAATCTTTTAAGGGCTAAAAACAGCAAGAAATCAATTTTATCTCAAATCCTTTCTCAATTATCTAATTTGTCTTAAAAAGCAAGTTAGTTTCATTCAACCAAAGGATGGCACATTTTCAGAGGCCTCTATTTCAGTCAATCTTCTAAATATACATCCACAAAGTAGACAATTAAGTATCCCTCATACCCAACGGACATTGAACTGTGATAAGAAAATTGACTGTGAAATGGCCCTTTTTATACAAGGAACTAAACAAAAAAAATTAATAGAAGTTACAAAGAATACTAGAAGGAATGTTCTTTATCTGTCCATTACTTCCAACAGTTCTCACTATGGCAAAAAACCCAATCTTTTGTTTTTTAGTGATAAGATTACCAGGAGAGTACAAAGGGCGGGGAGATAGCACCACCAAGCCAAGGAGGTAACAAAAAAAGACTCCTCCCAATCAGCAAAGATAGAGAGAAGTTGTAATTACAAAATTATATAGAGAGGGAACACCATGTGGAAGCATAAACTTTAAAACACAGCTTATAGATCAAACCCCGCATCCCCTCCATCTTCTTTCTTATAAGATATACTAAGTGATATACTAAGTGCTAATGCCATAGAGAGGAACATGAGAACATACTAAGTGATACCACCACAACCATATGCCAAAAAAGAAAGAGTTCAATTGAAATAACTAATATTTCCAATAACCTTCTAAAACTTACAATCAACTAAAATAATTTGAAAGAAATCAAAGCTCGTGACATCATTTTGAATAAGCCTAGTATAGGAAACTAGGTAAGCTTAAGCATAATCTTGGACACATTGGAAGTACAAATACTTGTTCTTGCAGATAACTAAGCACAATCATTTAATTTGAAAGTATAAGTTCATAACATTATGTTTTAGTTGTACAAAAATTCTTGAAAGATTCATTATTTATATACAAAAGTCACCCAAAAGTAAATATAAGCACAGATTATTGTGCTAATATCACTGAGATCATACTTCAGATGCAAATTGAAAGATTAAGCCATGATAGGTTTTTACCACTAACATAGTCATAGAAGACTTTATGTCTTGCATGCTGCCAGAAGATTTTTGAATCTCCACTTCCTGAAGGATTTCCTTTGTATGTTCCTTGTTGAAAAGTAAATAGGAACACTTCACAGATAATGAGTTTAGAAAATCATACAAGCGGTGTTTCTCACCCAGAATTTTGAGCAACTCATCCTGAATGCATAAAAGTCAAAAAAAAAAAAAAAAAAAAAAAAAAAAAAAAAAAAAAAAAAA